AGGCGGAAGGATCGCCGGAGCCCAGCAGGTCGAGGCTGCGGTGGCCAGGAACGGCCACTGCACTCCAGTCTGGGCAGAGTGAGACTCCAACTCAAAAAACAAAACAAAACAAAACAACATGTCCAAAAATGTTCTTATCCCAATTATTTAATAAAAGTAATGATAGTTAATGCAAACAACCATATTATAAAACACATGAAGGTGGGGAAGGCCAGGATTGGTGGCTCATGCTTGTAATCACAGCACTTTGGGAGGCAGAGGCAAGAGGACTGCCTGAGCCCACAGGTTCGAGAACAGCCTGGGCAACATGGTGAGACTTCATCTCTAAAATAAATAATAAAAAATATATATAGATAGGCATGGTGGCACACATCTATAGTTCTAGTTACTGGGAAGGCTGGGGTGGAAGAGTCACCTGAGCCCAACAGGTCCAGGCTGAGGTGGCCGTGAGCTGTGTGCCACTGCACTCCAGCCTGAGTGACAAAGTGAGACTCTGACTCAAAAAAAAAAAGGGGGGGGGGAGGAAGAGATTATTAAGGGCCACTGGCAAGGAAAAATATAAACTACAATCAACATCACTTAGCAGATCTTGTAACTTGTAAACATAAGTATTCATTAAATCGAACACTAACTACCACCTAGTTAAGTATTCACATTTGTGCTAAATACTCTTCCTCATGCATATTATTAAACAACCACTGGATAATAAGATATGATTAAAGTAAATCAGAATGAACTGCGTCCATATATTAATATTAACTCTGGTTGTGAGATCGTCTAAATATCAAGAAGCTGGTCCCAGCACTTTGAGAGGCCAGGGTGGGAGAACAGCTTGAGGTCAGGAGTTCAAGACCAGTCTGGGCAAAATAGGAAGACGGTTTCTTAAAAAATAAATAAATAAACAGGCCGGGCACAGTGGCTCAAGTCTGTAATCCCAGCACTTTGGGAGGCCAAGGTGAGAGGACTGCCTGGCTGAGACCAGTCTGGATAACTTGGTGAGATCTCATCTCTGCAATAAATAAAAAAAAAAAACCCAGCAGGGCGTGGCAGTGTACACCTGTAGTTCCAGCTACCTGGAAGGTTGAGGCAGAAATATCACCTGAGTCCAGCAGGTCGAGGCTGCAGTGGTCATGAGCATGCCACTGAACTCCAGCCTGGGCAACAGAGTGAGACTCCAACTCAAAAAACAACAACACACAAAATTTAGCCAGGCGTGGTAGTTTGTGCCTGTAAATCCAGCTAGGTACTTGGCAGGCTAAGGCAGGAAGACAGCTTGAGCCTAGGAAGACAAGATTTCAGTGAGCAGTGATAGTGCCACTGCACTCCAGCCTGGGTGACAGTGAGACACTGTCTCAAAAAAAACCACAAACCTTAACCTCACTAGTAAGTACTTTTCCAGAGCTTATCTTGCATTGAGAGTTCTTCTCATAAAAAAATAAAAGGAAAAAGGTCAGCTGGGCTCGGTGGCTCAGCCTGCAATCGCAGTACTTTGGGAGGCCAAGGCGAGTGAATTGCCTGAGTCCGTGGGTTCGAGACCAGACCAGGCAACTTGGCGAGACCTCGCCTCTGCAATAAAAATAGTTATCATCATCATCATCATCATCATCATCATCATCATCATCATCTAGCCGGGTGTGGTAGCACGCGCTTGTAGTTTCAGCTACTTGGAAGGATGAGGCGAAAGGATCGCCAGAGCCCAGCAAGTTGACGATGGGGTGGCTCTGTGAGTATGCCCTGCATTCCAGCCTAGGTGAGAGTGAGACTCCAAATCAAAAAAAAGGAAAAAGGTCATCAGTCAATGATATTCTCAATTTATGGGAATCACAATAGTTTTCTATCATCTACTGGCTATGTGGCCTCTACTAACTTACTTAATCTCTCTAAGTAGTGATAATACTTATATGTCAGGTCTATTGTGGTGACTAAATGAGATGGATACCAAGTGCTCGACTCAGGGTTGTTACAATAAGAAAACCACAAATGGTATTTTTTACCTTGTTCAGTTTGTGAAATAATGTAAAATAAAATTTTCTTTTTTTTTTTTTGAGTTGGAGTCTCACTCCGTCGCCCAGACTGGAGTGCAGTGGCCGCTCCCGGCCACCGCAGCCTTGACCCGCTGGGCTCCAGTGATCCTTCCACCTCAGCCTTCCAAGTAGCTGGAACTACAGGCGTGCGCTACCATGCCTGGCTCCTTTTGATTTATTGTAGAGATGAGGTCTCGCCAAGTTGCCCAGATGGGTCTCGAACACACGGGCTCAGGCAATCCACTCACCTCAACCTCCCAAAGGTGCGGGATTACAGGCTAGGCCACCGAGCCCGACTAAAATAAAATTTTCATTTGTGATTTTTAAGAATGCCTAGCATTTGCATTCTACTTTGCTACTAATTTCTGTTTTCTTAAAATAATTCATTGATAGTCAAGTTTCAATAAATAGTTCAAAGAACTAGAGAAGCTTCATTTTTTATTCCTGCTCAAGTAAAATAAATTCAAAGAAAAATCAAAACTATTAAAATATTATTTACTTACCTGGATTTAAAGCAAAATTATCTATTAAACTCTTCCAAGCAATAAATGCTATTTTTTTAATCATGGGTGCTCCACTACGAAATCCCAGTTCTTCTAGCTGTAACAAAGAATTGATGAAACTCCCACTTCGATGCAAAGTCTAAAAAAGGAGAAAAAAAATCATTAAGAAGTTACCTATCTCCATGAAACAAAATAAAGTCACTATTATCATTCATTTACCTATTCAATTAATATATGTTATTAGGACTTCATAATCTAACAGGTAGAAAAAAGACATAAAAAAGACGCATTAAGTGTTATAACAGATAAGTAGAGGCCTAGGAATTCAAATTTTAAAATACTGTATTCTATATACATTCAAAATTCAAGAACACAAAAAATATGAAGCTTGATGAAGCAAATAATGCATAACGCAGAACATGTCTAAAACACTATACAAGATTACAAAGATAAATTCCAAATTTTATCAAGGCAATACCAAGAAAATACATGCTTATATATAAAAAAATCAATTAGAGAAAAATGTTGAAAACTAAAATAAAAACCTTTCCAAACATACTGAGATGAGAAGGAATATTGGTGAACTAAAGATCTAATTTCATGAATAAAAAATAAATGCAGCTGGGCTCGGTGGCTCAGCCTGTAATCCCGCGCCTTTGGGAGGCTGAGATGAGTGGATTGCCTGAGCCCGTGGGGTTTGAGACCCGCCTGGGCAACTTGGCGAGGCCTCATCTCTACAATAAGTCAAAAATTAGCCAGGTGTGGTAGCGCGCGCCTGTAGTTCCAGCTACTTGGAAGGCTGAGGCGGAAGGATCGCCGGAGCCCAGCAGGTCGAGGCTGTGGTGGCCGGGAGCGGCCAATGCACTGTAGTCTGGGCGACAGTGAGACTCCAACTCAAAAAAGAAAAAGAAAAATGAAAAAAATGATAATATTAGCAATTTAATAGCTAATAAAATGGCAAAAATAAGAAAGTCAAGAAAACTGGATAACTTCTAGGACACTTCCAAATATTATATGACTCAAAAGGAAATAACATCAAACAAAAAAGAAAATAAAGTACAAAATGGAAAAATGAAAAACAAGAAATGCTACAAGAAAAAAACTACATAAACATTTACAGACTTGGGGACTATATGCCACATAAAATCTTCACAGGAAACAACAAAAAATTGACTTGACAAATAACAAAGATTTCATAAGAAAGCTAAGAGAGCTCGTAAGTTCAGCAAAGTTGCAGGAAAACAGGATCAACAAATGAAACGTGGTTTCTGACACACCAGCAATAATACAAAAAGGAAATCAGAAAAGCAATTCCACTTACATAGCACCTAAAAGTATTAAATACTTAAGAATATAGATTGAAGTCCTGGTGTGGTAGCTCACGTCTATAATCCCAGCATTTTGGGAGGCCAAGGTGTGATGCCTGCCTGAGCCCACGGGTTCGAGGTCAGCCTGGGCAATCTGGCGAGACCTCATCTCTACAATACATCAAAAAATTAGCCTGGCGAGGGAGCGCGTGTCTGTACTTCCAGCTACTTGGAAGGCTGAGGTGGAAGGATCCTCTGAGCCCAGCAGGTTGAGGCTGAGGTGGCTGTGAGCCTCCAGCCTGGGCAACAGAGTAAAACTCTGACTCAAAAAAAAAGAATAAAGATCCAGCCAAGGAAGCGAAAAACATACGCACTGGTAACAGAAATTAAAGATTTAAATAAATGTAAAGACATCTATCTGTTCATGTGTAAGAACATTAAACACTGCTAAAAAGTCAAACACAAAGCAATCTGCAGACCCATCTCTATCAAGATTCCCCCAGCCTTTTTTCACACAGGAATGTCAATCCTCAAATTTGTATTTAATTGCAAAGGGCCTCGAACAGCCAAAACAATCTAGAAACATAAAATTGGAGAACTCACACAACTTCCAAAATTATAAAAACTACGGCAAGCCGGGCTCGGTGGCTCAGCCTGTAATCCCACGCCTTGGGAGGCTGAGGTGAGTAGGATTGCCTGAGACCGCGGGTTCGAGACCCGCCTGGGCAACTTGGAGAGACCTCATCTCTACAAATCAAAAATCAGCCGGGCGTGGTAGCGCGCGCCTGTAGTTCCAGCTACTCGGAAGGCTGAGGTGGAAGGAGCGCCGGACCCCAGCAGGTCAAGGCTGCGGTGGCCGGGAGCGGTCACTGCACTCCAGTCTGAGCAACAGAGTGAGACTCCAACTCAAAAAAAAATAATAAAATAAAAATAAATAAAAATAAAAAAATGAAAACATATGGTGACGGTGTAAGGACAGATCTACATACAGATCAACAGAATAGAATACTGTGCATAAGTTAAACTAGGTCAGGCACGGTGGCTCATACCTATAATCCCAGCACTTTGGGAGGCAAAGGCGAGAGGATTGCCTGAGCTCAGGGGTTTGATACCAACCTAGGCAACTTGGAGAGACCTCATCTCTACAATAAATCAAAAAAATCAGCCAGGAATGGTGGAGGGCACAACTGAGATAGAATGGTTGCCTGAGCCCAGCAGGTCAAGGCTGCAGTGAGGGTGAGTGGGCCTTAGCGACAGAGAGAGACTCTGACTCAAGAAAAAAAAAAAAAGAAGTAAATTGATTTTCGGCAAGGGTACCATGACCATTTAATAAGGAAAAGTCTTTTCAACAAATTATGCTGAGGAAACTGAACATCTACCTCCAAAAGAATGAACATGGACCCTTACCTTACACCATCCCCAAATATTAACTGGAAATGATTCAAAGATCTAAATTCAAAATAAAAATGTTCTAAAATAAAAATGTTTCCAAGAAAACAAGAGTCATGACACTGGATTTGGCAATAATTTCATTAATATAATACCAAAAGCACAGGCAACAAAGACATAGTGAATACCACCAAGAAAGCAAAAAAAAAAAAAAAGCTACAAAATGGAAGAAAATAGTTGTAAATCACATAACTGATAAGGGATTAATATCCAGAATATATAAACTACAATTCAACAACAAAAACACAACCCCATTCAAAAATGGGCAAAAGACTTGAACAAGCATTTCTCCACAGAAGATGAAACAAATTGGCCAAGAACCCCATGAAAAGATGCTCAACATCATTAGTAATTAGAGAAGTGCAAATTGATACCATGAATTCCCATTTCATATTCACTAGAATAGCTTTTATCCAAAAAATGGGAAAAAAGTGTTGGTAAGGATGCTGAGAAACTGGAATCCCAGTGCATTACTGGTGGAAATGTAAAATGGTACAGCTACTATCAAAAAGTTAGATGTTTTCTCAAAAGTTAAGCATAGGAAACTACCATATGACCCAGCAATTTCACTCCTAAGTATATATCAAAATAGAAAGCAGGAACTCTGGCCAGGTGTAGTGGCTCACACCTGTTATCCCAGCACTTTGGGAGGCAGAGGTGAGAGGGATTGCCTGAGCCCAGGGGTTCGAGAAAAGTCTGGGCAACTTGGTGAGTTCTGTCTCTACAACAAATCAAAAAACCAGCCAGGTGTGGTGATGTGCCTATGATTCCAGCTACTTGGAAAGCTGAGGCAGAAGGATCACCTGGGCCTAGCAGATCGGGTCTGCAGTGGCTGTGAGCATGCCTGCCACTGCACTCCAGCCTGGGCAACAGAGTGAGACTCTGACTCAAAAAAAAAAAATCAGGAACTCCAACAGATATTTGTACACTGTTTACAGCAAAATTATTCACAATTGCCGTCATAAGGTGGAAACCATCTAAATGCCCGTCAACAGATGAATGAATAAACAAAGTGTGACAAATGCATATAATGTAGTATTATTTGGCTATGTAAGAAGGAATGAAATGTTAATGTGTACTACAACATTGGCAAATCTTGAAAACATTATACTTAGTAAATAAGCCAGACACAGAAGGGCAAATATTTATTATTCCACTTAGGTAAATAAGGTATCCAGAATAATCAAATTCATAGAGGTTAATGGGGGGGACAGGGAACATAGGCAGAGAGAGGTACTGCTTAAGGAGTACGGTTGTTGTTGGAGGTGATGAACAAGTTTTGGGTATAAATAGTGATGATGCTTATAGTATAACATAAATATATTTAGTGCTACTGAATTGTTCCTTACAAATGCAAACTGTTCAATTACAAAAGGCAAAGGTGAGAAGATTGCCTGATCCCAGGGGTTCAATACCAGCCTGGGCAACTTGGAGAGACCTCATCTCTACTATAAATCAAGAAGATTAGCCAGGTATGGTGGAGTGCTGCTGAAGCAGAAAAATTGTCTGAGTCCAGAAAATTTATAATTATACATATGTACCACAATGAAAAAGTACACCTCCTCCCAAAAAAACTGGCTTAATGACTAAACAATACAGTTGATTCTCATTATTCACAACAGTTATTTTCTAAGGTTGTCTCAAGCACTAGTTAGTGAATACTGAACCATCACTCACATGGGAAATACAGGGTTAGTTTTCCTTGAGTCTCTGGTCACAAGTTTTGTCAACTGTTCAATTCATAACCTGTTTCATGTGTTTCTGGTAAGACATTTTATACTGCTGATTCCCAAACATCAAACTCACAGCCAACAGTGCTGTAATCCATGTCTGAACAAAGCTTATTTTTACCATTGGGTATATCAACCTTTTTTTTTTTTTTGAGTTGGAATCAAACTCTGTTGCCCATGCTGGAGTGCAGTAGCGCACTCACAGCCACCGCAAACTAGACTTCCTGGGCTCAGGCGACCCTTCTACTTCAGCCTTCCAAGTAGCTAGAACTACAGGCACGCACCACCATACCCAGTTTATTTTCTGATTTATTGTAGAGACAAAGTCATGCTAAGTTGCCCAGATGGTCTCAGGCAACCCTCTCACCTCCGCCTCTCAGAGTGCTGGGGATTACAGGTGTGGGCCAATGCACCTAGCCCTTTCTTTGCTTAGGAACAAGAACTAGTCAGAACTTATTCCGATGGTTGGGGGTCATTCAGGCAGTGAAATCACCAAGAGAAAGTACAAAAAAAATGTTGGACTAAATGAACCTTTAAAATGACATCTGGCCGGGCTTGGTGGCTCAACCTGTAATCCCAGCATTCTGGGAGGCCGAGGTAAGTGGACTGGCCTGAGCCCACAGGTTCGAGACCCACCTGGGCAACTAGGCGAGATCTATATGGTCTCTACAATAAATAAATAAATAAATTAGCTGGGCGTGGTAGCGCACGCCTGTAGTTCTGGCTACTTGGAAGGCTGAGGCAGAAGGATCGCCAGAGCCCAGCAGGTTGAAGCTGCGGTGGCCATGAGTATGCCACTGTTCTCTAGCCTGGGCAACACAGTGAGACTCCAACTCAAAAATAAATAAATAAAAATTTTCAAAATGACATCTGTTTAAAGTATGAGAGCTAAAACAAAAAGGTAGAGCCAAAACTTGCTTTACCTCAGGTATAAACATCCATGTTAGGTGACTCAAATTCTTTGCCACTCTGGGTGTCTACAAATGATGGCAAAAGCAAAACAGGTACTGATTTGGGGTTTACAAATAAATTTTAGTGAGTAGGAAATCTGCTAGAAAGGCATTCATAAATAATGAACACTGACTGTACTAAGATAAGAAATGAAAGGGCATGGCATGAAAAAACTGTGGACTTCATTAACAGCAGCTCTTACCTTTCCAAGTAGTTTGACAAATAAGGGCCATAATTTTAACACATAAGTTTCATTTTTATTCATAAATAGCTTCTGGAGTTCTGAAATCAAATTCTGCAAACAAAAGCAAAAATATGTAACAAACAGACTCCTGGAAAGGAAAAATTCAGTAACAAAGTCTAGAAGCAATTTTCAAAAATTGATTCTCCCCCAATTAACATTTCCCATAATAAAAATACACTGATACTCTCCCTCCCCCAAAAAACCCAGAAGAAAAGTTTTAAGGCAGATAGCAAATTTGAATAAGATGTACAGTAAATATTCAAATACAACGATTGTTAATTCTACCATGAATATTCTACTATGTCTTCACATGTATCTGGCCATCCTACCATCCATTAATTCAGCTTACGGTTTTTTCCTACCAAGATAATTTTCCCTAAAAACTTCAGCATGCACACTATTAATTAAAGTTCAAATGATAATGCATTAGTCTTTTCACACAAATAATGAAAAAAAAACACTAACAGCTTCATGGTCAATAGACATCTTAGATAATTTTAGCTCTTATTTATAATTTTATGCATGCTATTAAAAATGAACAAATCCAGCCTGGTATGGTGGCTCATGCCTGTAATCTCAGCACTCCGAGAGGCAGAAGCAAGAGGACTGCCTGAGCCTGGGGATTTGAGACCAGCCCAGGCAACTTGGCAAGACCTGTTTCCATAATACAATAAAAAAAAAAAAAATTAGCCAGGCATAGTGGCATGTGCCTGTGGTTCTAGCTATTTGGAAGGCTGAGGTGAAAGATCACCTGAGCACTGCTGTGGCAGTGAGTGTGCCACTACACTCCAGTCGGGGTGACAGAGCCAAGTAACAATTTGGAGGGAAAAAAAAGTTAGGGGGGCCTCTTGGTAATGAATATAAACAAAGTATTCTGATGGATTTGTTTATTTATTTTTTTATCCTTCCATCTCAGCCTTCCAAACAGTGGAACCACAGGCATGTGCCACCACACCTGGCCAATTTTTTGATTTATTGTAGATACAAGGTCTCACCTGGTTGCTCAGGCTAGTTTCGAGCTTCTGGACTCAAGCAACCCTCTCACCTCTACCTCCCAAAGTGCTGGGATTACAGGCATGAGCAACCGTGCCCGGCTAAGAAGCCTCCTTAATTTTAAAAGCAAACAAAACCCCAGGATTTAGAAACTGGAAGGCTCAATGCCTCACAGCCTGGATTACTGCAGCATGTCCTAATCAGTCTCCCTGCTCCTCAACCACTCCCATACAATCAATTCACAATATAACCATAGTGATTCCTTTAAAACCCAACTGGGACAACCCCCTTGGGTCCCCTCCCATGGTGGGAGCTTTTCTGTCCTCTCAATAAATCCCGCTTTCAAAACAATAAAATAAAACCCAAGTCAATGTATTTTACACCTAGGCTCAAAACTTTCAAATATGACTTTCCACATAATCCAGTAAAAGCCAAATCCTTACAATGGCCTCCAAGGTCCTATGAGATCGGGCCCCTCTCTCCCTCTAACACTGTCTCCTAATCCTCTCATCCTCATTCACCCACTGCTGTCATACTGCCCAGTGTTTCCTAACACCAAAAAGGTACATAACCACAAGAGAGTTTTTGCTATCATGGTTCTCTTGCCTGGAATGAGCTTACCCCATATTATCCATGTGGTTGATGCCCAATCTGCCTTCAAGTCATTGTTTAAATATCCTACTCTTTAACCTTTCTGACCATCTCATTATTCCTCTCTGATGGCACACTCTAACCCACACTTGCTGTTCTCCAGTGCTCTCAGAGTACTACACTCTCAGAGGCACACTATATACTTTCTCTCTCCCATGAGAAAATAATTTCCACAAGCCCCTTTTGTTCATTGCTGCATTCAGTGCTGGAATAATGCACTGCATGTCACAGGAACTCAATAAATCCTGTTACTAGGAATAAGGTTGCATGGCAACCTGTGGCAAGTAATAACCAGAAAACAGTACAGACGAGATACACTTATGTGCACTATATTTGTATATACTGAGATTACACAATCTCAGTTTGGGTTGGATTAAACAATCCAAACAGCACTGAATCAGTGAATGCTCTTATCTTTTATAGAAATACAATCCCTTTCTATTTCCCATTCGCTGGGGGTAAGGTAAAATGTCTAGGTTGTAGTAACAATGAATAGACAGCTCCCTTTCTTAATGGTGTGTAGGAGCAATGTGCCTACGCTACCCCCTAAACAATTGTTTTGAGTTGGAGTTTCACTCCATTGCCCAGGCTGAAGTGCAGTGGCATGCTCCCGGCCACCCCAGCATCGACCCGCTGGGCTCTGGTGATCCTTCCGCCTCATCCTTCCAAGTAGCCAGAACTACAGGTGTGTGCTACCACACCCAGCTAATTTTTTATTTAATGAAGAGACGAGGTCTTGCCAAGTTGCCTGGGATGGTCTCAAATCCATGGGCTCAGGAAATCCACTCACCTCGGCCTCCCAAAGTGCTGGAATTACAGGCTGATCCACCAAGCCCAGCCCACAATTTTTTTTTTTTTTTGAGTTGGAGTCTACTCTGTCGCCCAGGCTGGAATGCAGAGGCACACTCATGGCCACCGCAACCTCAACCTGCTGGGTTCAGGATCCTTCTGCCTCAGCCTTCTAAGTGGCTGGAACTACAGGCGTGTGCCACCACACCTGATTAATTTTTTTTCATTTATTGTAGAGATGAGGTCTTGCCCCATTGCCCAGGCTGGTCTTGAAGCTGTGGGCTCACGCAACCTTCTCGCATGAATCTCCCAAAGTGCTGGGATTACAGGTATGAGCCACCATGTCTGGCTTAACTTAAATAATTTTTTTTTTTGAGTTGGAGTGTCATTCTGTCGCCCACACTGGAGTGCAGTGGCCGCTCCCGGCTACCGCAGCCTCGACCTGCTGGGGTCTGGCGATCCTTCCGCCTCAACCTTCCAAGTAGCTGGAACTACAGGCGCGCGCTACCACGCCCGGCTAATTTATTTGATTTACTGTAGAGATGAGGTCTCGCCAAATTGCCCAGGCGGGTCTCGAACACGAGGGCTCAGGCAATCCATTCACCTCAGCCTCCCAAAGGCACAGGATTACAGGCTGAGCCACCGAGCCCAGCTTAGCTTAAACAATTTTTAATGCTAAGTCAATTTTACCAATTATTATGCCCAGATAATTTTGTTTTTTGGGGTTTTTTGGGAGTTGGAAGTCTCACTCTGTTGCCCAGGCTGGAGTGTAGTGGCATGCTCATGGCCTCTGCAGCCTTGACCTGAGCTCAGGCAATCCTTCCACCTCAGCCTTCCAAATAGCTGGAACCACAGGCACACACCATCACACCACTAATTTTTTAATTTATTGTAGAGATGAGGCCTTGCCATGCTGCTCAGGCATGAACCACTGTGCGTGGCTGGTGCTCAAATAATTTTAAGTTTAGTACAGAACCTTCTGATGCAATATCCAGAATATCCTTACATAAAGTAATACTTACAGTAGTCATAAGCTGCTCTGTAATAGATGCTATTTCTTGCTGATTCTGAAGCAATAATGGCATTCCCATCTCCAGAGCAGTTGCTCCCCGCAAATGTACCTTTTGTGCTGAGTGAACCACTAATGGTATGACCAGTTTTGCCCACCTCACTGACTCTTCTCCCATTTGAACTGGGGCTTGTTCAATTAGCCTATAAATGGTAAAATCAATGAAAAAATTAGCTTTACACCTCACTTTTTAAGTCTAAACTACCAGGAAAATAAGTGGCCCACAGAAATATACATAGCAGGGTCCAGCTGTTTTCGAATACATACATATATGTGTATATACATAGGAGAAATACATCTAATTTTTACTTACAAATTTGTACATTTCTGTATTCTTTCAACAAACTTTTTAAATAATGAGAACACAGTATTGTCTTCAGATTAAACATTTTAAAATAGAGTCGGTCCCTCAGTTTCTATGGGAAATTGATTTCAGGACCTCCCAAGGCTGCTCAAGTCCTATATAAAGTGGCATAGCAAGCCAAGCGCGGTGGCTCACACCTGTAATCCCAGCACTTTGGGAAGCAGAGGCAGAGGACTGCCTGAACTCAGGGGTTCGAGACCAGCCTGGGCAACTTGGCGGGACCTCGTCTCTCAACAATAAACAAACAAAAAAATTAGCTGGGCATGATGGTGCATGCCTGTAGTTCCAGCTACTTGGAAGGCTGAGGTAGAAGGATCACCTGAACCTAGCAGGCTGAGGCTGCAGTGGCCGTGAGTGTGTCACTGCACTCCAGCCTGGGTGACAGAGTGAGACTTCAACTCAAAAAAACAAAGTGGCATAACATATTCATGCACAACATGACATTTTCCTCAATGACTGACCACACTTACAGTGGTTATCCCATAAGATTATAAAGGACCTAAAAAATTCCTATCACCTAGTGACTGTCAAACGTAATAAATACATCACGTTTGTGAAGATGCTGGTGTAAAACAAACCTACTGTGTTCCCATTCATATAAAAGTATAGCACAATTATGTGCAGCACATAATACTTGATAATGACAATAAATAACTATGTTGCTGGTTTATGTATTTAGCATACAATAGTTTTTAATCAGAAATGTATTCCTTCTACTTGTCTACAAAAAAGTTAACTGTTAAACAGCCTTGGCAGGTCTTTCAGGAGGTATTCCAAAAGAAAACACTGACATCATAAAAAATGATAACTCCATGCATGTTACTGCCCTGAAGACCTTTCAATAGGACAAGATGTGGAGGGAGAAAACAGTGATAATAATGAGTCTGATCCTGCGTAGACCTAGGCTTATAAGAGTGCGTCTTAATTGTTAACAAAAGAGTTTAACAATGTTTTAGAAAAAAAGCTTAAAGATAAGGACCTAAAGAAATATTTTTATAAAGCCATACAATGTGTCTGTCTATCTACCCAAACCCTGCTAATCTTTTTTTTCTTTTTTTTTTGTAGACAGGGTCTAGCTATGTTGCCCAGGTTGTCTTCAACTCCCGGCTTAAGCTATCTTCCTGCCTTTGCTTGCCAAAATGCTGGGATTAGTGGCATGAGCCAAGCCACCGTGCCCAGCCCCTTTTCTATGATAGATAACAAATTCTTCCCATTGTGTTACAACTGCTGTCGACAGTATTTAGTACAGCAACCTGCTGCACAGGTTTGTAGCCTAGGAGTAATAGGCTATACAGTATAGCCTAGGTATAGAACAGGCTATACCATCTAGGTCTATATAAGTATACTTCACAGTATTTACACAATGACAAAAATTATCTAATGATGCATTTCTCAGAATATATCCCCGTCATTAAGTGACACGTTACCGCATGTATACATAGTTACGGACATCTTCCCACATACTTTAAGTCATCTCTAGTTTACTTATAATACCTAATACAATATAAATGTTAAGTAAACAGCTGTTATACTCTATTGCTTAGGGAACAATGACAAGAAAAAACACCGTACATGTTCAACACAGATAAAATTTTGTTGAGTATTTTCTCTTTTTGTTGTTGAGTATTTTCAATCCTTGGTTAGTTGACTCCAAGGATGTGAAAACTACAAAGGGCTAGTCATGAGGAGGGCAGGGATGGGATTGGCAGTAGTGGGAAACAGCAGGTGGGGGGGGTGTATGTAGCACAGCTCATCAACAAGGGTATCTGCATAATGAACATCTGTATACCTAACCCTGAATTGTATACCCCACATATTTAAAAATTTAAAAACTAAAGTTAAAAAAGAATGACACTTCACAGGAAAAAAAAAGGCCAACCATAGTACTCACTGTTATGTTATTAAATTCTACGTTCTTATAGAAGAGGACAGTCAGATAACTGTGGTTATTAAATCCTACATTCTTATAGAAGAGGACAGTCAGAGAACCATGATATAATCTAAGCATCAATGAAAGCCAGGCAGTTAAAGGAAATAGCTCAGTAACCATAGGAAAGTTCAAAGAATCAAAAATAAGGGACGACAGAAATCATGTCATCAATCTGTGCTGTTAGCATACCTGTTAAAGAAGAGGAATGTAGAAAGAAGGTATTTTTCTGTTCCCTTCTAGGCATGTGACTGCCTTTCCAAGCACCCATTATAGCCCACTTATAATTTTTTAAACCATAAAAAAACTTCAATGAAAATAATTTTTAAAACCAGATTGTGCAGGAACGTAGGCAAGACCTCACTTAAGGTCTTCCCTGGCTGGGCACAGTGGCTCACCTATAATCCCAGCACTCTGGGAGGCTGAGATGTGAGGATTGCCTGAGCCCGCAGGTTCGAGACCAACCTGGGCAACTTGGCAAGACCTCATCTCTACAATAAATCCAAAAATTAGCTGGGTATGGTAGCGTATGTCTGTAGTTCCAACTACTTGGAAGGCTGAGGTGAAGAATCACCTGTGCACAACAGGTCGAGGCTGCAGTGGCCAGTAGCATGCCACTGGCTTCCAGCCTGGGTGACAGAGTGAAACTCCAACTCAAAAAAAAAAAAAAAAGTAGAGAAAAATAATGTACTCTTCAATCATAAAGTTAAACATATATTCAGAGAACAGAAACAGAGAACCACTGCTGGTGTTTAACTTTTCTCCAAAACGAAACTCAGATAAGAGGAGAAGATATGCTCAGAAAATAAGAGACACCAACTCAGGTATCTTGGGCAATCAAAATTACTATAGCTATGAGCAGTGTATATGAACATACAATTTTTGCCAGATGTTTTAAATCCTACATATCTACTTTAAAATGAACAACTCCTACTTTAGGCTGCTAACATTTCCATATACAAAAAAGAACAAGCTGGCTGGGTGCAGTGGCTCATCCCAGCACTTTGGGTCGATGAGATGAGAGAACTGCATGAGCCAAAGGGTTCAAGACCAGCCTGGGCAACTTGGCAAGACTTCATCTCTACAATAAATCCAAAAATCATCTGGAGCCGGGCTCGGTGGCTCAGCCTGTAATCCTGCACCTTGGGAGGCTGAGGTGAGTGGATTGTCTGAGCCTGTGGGATTTGAGACCTGCCTGGGCAACCTGATGAGACCTCATCTCTACAATAAATAAAAAAATTAGCCAGGTGTGGTAGCGCACGCCTGTAGTTCCAGCTACTTGGAAGGCTGAGGTGGAAGGATCGCCAGAGCCCAGCAGGTCGAGGCTGTGGTGGCCGGGAGCAGCCAGTGCACTCCAACTCAAAAAAAAAAAAAAAAAAAAAAAATCATCTGGGCATGGTGGCACATGCCTGTAGTTCCAGCAACTTGAAAGGCCAAGGCAGAAGGATCAGCTGAGCCCAGCAGATAAGGCTGCAGTGGCCATCAGAGTGAAACTCTGACTCAAAAAACAAAACAAAAAAAACAGTTTTTCCCTCAGAATAAAGAACGGGAATAATTTTCTGACATTCTTATTATCTATGCCTAATTTCTGACATCCTTATTATCTATACTTAATTTCCCCAGGCTTTCTTTACAATGGTAAACTACTAACTACAGAGAAACAACATGCAGACTGCTTGAAAACACGGAAGGCATCAGGTTCTGCACTTTCTCTCTCTCTCTCTTTCTGAGTTGGAGTCATCACTCTCTCGCCCAGGTTGGAGGGCAGCAGCACACACCCAGCCGCTGCAACCTCGACCTGCTGGGCTCAGGTGATCCTTCTGCCTCAGTCTTCCAAGTAGCTGGAACTACAGGTACACGCTATCATGCCAGGTTATTTTTTGGATCTATTGTAGAGATGAGGTCTTGCCTAGTTGCTCGGGTTGGTTTTGAACCCCTGGGCTCAGGCAATCCTCTCACCTCAGTCTCCCAAAGTACTAGGATTATAGGCGTGTGTCACTGTGACAGGCCAGGTTCTGCACTTTCATTACCCTATTTTTATGGTTCCAAACTATTCCACATTTATCGTTATAGAACTTTTCAACTCAATTTCATGTTCCTTGGTGTATATGCCTGAATAAAGGTTTACAGCAATTGTGCTTAAACAGTTTTGTTTTTTAGAGCAAATTTTATAGTATCAGAGAGCTATGTCTAGATAATAATGTTAATCTATCTGGACATTAGTTTTCTTAAAAGCAAACACTAAACTACAAGTTATGAAACTTATCCGGAGGTAACAACAGTACTTTTAACAGCATCAAACTATGTATACTGTAAACTTACACTTTTTTATTAATATTCTGAAAATATTAATTGAAATTTATCTACCTGATAATACTGAGGTAATTTTGGGATTATACAGGCAAAACCCCAATGCTTGTAGAGCAGCACTACTTAGCTCCAAGTTTTGACTGGAAATGTGAGTCTACAAAAAACAAAATCACATTTATTACAAAGTATAACTGTAAATCAATTTTTAGAAAGCAAAAGTTGACTAAAAACAAGCAAGTCTATCAAATCATCATATCTGAATCGAGTTATCAAGTATTTGAGAATAAGCAAAAAAAAAAAAAAAAAAAAAAGAGTAAGATCAGGAGGCCACGTATACAGCTTGGCAAAGAGGGAACTAGAGATAAACTGAATGAAGATAAAGACACTAAACTGGGAAAAGAAGCCAGGCCCTTCCACAAAAAATAAGCCAAAGACATAAATGCAAAAGCTGACATCCTAGTTTTAGAGTGGAATGAAATGTCTTTCTCTAAGACTAAGAGAAGGAAAAGTTCAGAATATAGCATTTACTAAGTATCTAATATTTGCTAGGCACTTTAAACTTCTCAGATATTAAAGTTTTAAAAACTCCTACTTTACAAATAAGAGAATTTTAATCCATGTCAAATCTAGAATTCAAAGCCCAATCCATACTACATATATAAAAGCTATAAAAGCCCTAATCTGTCAAATGGAGTCCAGATATATCCCTCAATGTTTACTTGTAACCCAATGCCCCCCTTTCCTAATACCACTTTATTTGAAAGTGACTTATCTTCAAAATACCCCATCTTTCACTGAATCACACATCCAAGGAACCCACAATGGTTTTCCTTGAATAGGAAAAACAGCAAATGTCAAATAATTAAAACAAAATCAGCAGTTTCTCTAGTCCAAGCCAGCTCTGCTTATCTCTCAATCTTCCCTCTTTTCTTTCTCTAATAAACTTTGTTTGAAAACTTAAAAAAGACGGGCTTGGTGGCTCAGCCTGTAATCCTAGCACTTTGGGAGGCCGAGGCGAGTGGACTGCCTGAGCCCGCAGGTTCAAGACCAGCCCGGGCAACTTGGCGAGCCGTCGTCTCTACAATAAATCAAAAATTAGCCGGGCATGGTAGTGTGCGCCTGCAGTTCCGGCTACTTGAAGGCTAAGGCGGAAGGATCGCTGGAGCCCAGCAAGTCCAGGCTGTGGTGGCCATGAACATGCCACTGCACTCCCGTCTGAGCCAGAATAAGACTCCAATACACACACACACACACAAATCAAATACTAAGGTATAAGGGACATATCACAGCAACCAGTTGCAAGCAACTGAGTAAGGCTTAAGACTGTGAGTACTACTACTGTCTCCTGGATGAGAGCTAGCAAATGTCTGTGATCAACCTTTACTAGGCATACTTGCTCAAAAAAACTGTTCCTATCAGTGGTGTTGTCCCATCTTCAAGAGTGTTGTGGGTTCCTAAACACAATTTTAGCTGAATTCTGAAAAGCAACATAGAAACATGCTCTATTTTATCTAGCATGGCTACTACTCTGAAGGAATTTAACTGTCCTATGTCTAATTCACACGAAGAGCTTCTGTTTATTGTCCTATTACTGACTCCAAATAATAATTCGTCAGGAACTTCAGTTACAAGCCTTATTTATAAACACTGCAACATAGCTGGGTCTGGTGACTCATGCTTGTAATCCCAGCACTTTGAGAGGTGGAGGCAAGAGAATTGCCCGAGTCTAGGGGTTCGAGACCAGCCTGGGCAACTTGGCAAGACCTCATCTCTACAATAAATCAAAAAATTAGCTGGGCATGGTGGTGCGCATCTGTAGTTCCAGCTACTTGGAAGACTGAGGTGGAAGGACTGCCTGAACCAGCAGACTGAAGGTGCAGTGGCCGTGAGCCTGGCACTGCACTCCAGCCTGGGCAATGGAGTGAGACTCCGACTTAAAACAAAAGAAACAAAAAAACACTGCAACCTGACTAAAGATACATGCAATAGAGTTCCCAATCCTGTAATACTAAATACATGAAGGATCATGGTCTTTATCACATCATTTTGTTAGAATGTAGAATATAATCATGAAGAAAATGAAATAATAAATGCCATTAATATTACTAAATAATATTATCAGATAACTACCACACACTAAAGTTCCTGCTTACATAAACAAAAAAAGTTGATGACTATGACTACACTTAGGGTAGACAGTATCTCAAATGCTTTAAAATTTAGCCAAAAATCATGCCAAAATGTACAAGTGTTGACAGAATATAACTGTTTAAAAGCACAAAAACAGCTGGGCGTGGTGGTGCACGCCCATAATCCTAGCTACTCAGGAGGCTGAGATAGAAGGACTTACTTGAGCCTAAGAGTTTGGACAACACAGGCAGCCCCCAACCCCCAAAACAATACTAAAAATAAAAGAACATAAACATGATCTTAAGAATAAGAACTCAGCCAGGTTCGGTGGCTCAGCTTGTAATCCCGCGCCTTTGGGAGGCTGAGGTGAGTGGAT